AGCTATTCTGGACGGAATGTAGATCTGGAAATCATCAGTGTCCAAATGGTAATTTGATTCATAAAATGTGATGAGGTTGATTTTGAGAGGATCCTAAGAAGACAGGGACTAGGAAGCACCAGGAATATACTTACCTAGACAACACTTGCATTGGAAGAATCTGTTTGATGGAACTATTTTGAAACTCTGGAGTCTACTAGATCCTTGCAACATTCAGGGAAAGTCCTAGATGATAAAACTGACATTATTTTTTGTTAATTTCAGCTCCCGCCATAGTAACAGACACTCACCCTCCATCCCCAGCCCAATGGCACACAGTTTGTAGGAGCCAGGATAGGCAATAAGAACCCTGTTTTTTCCAAATATCGTGCATCTGTGTCTTAGTTGATGATGGCTGCTTATGATCACAGATGTGCATTCACAGATGCCAACAGCCACTGTCACACAACCCTCATTGTTGCGAGTCCCTCTCCTTAGACTGAAGCAAGCTCAGGGTTTTTAGAGGATTGGCTCCTCCCCACTTCATTTTCTGATTTTTCCCTTTTGGCAGCCAGTCATTAAACACTAAGACATTCAAAAGAAGCTACATGTGGGCAAATTAGAAAGTCACTGTGCATGCCGAGGGAAGGTTCAGAAAAGACCTTAAGTTGGCTCTTCAACCTGATTTTTAGTACAGATAGTGGACAACAACCAAAAGATGAAACTGAACGAAGCAAAATTTAGTTCTTAAAAATCCAGTCATTTCACTTCTGAACATTCCTGCATTAATATAGGAGCTTTGGGGGGACATCTCATATCCAAACCATATTAGAAATGGAGTCAATTTCTCAGCTTACTCTAAAATGGTTCAGAAAAAAAAAAAAAAGGCTCTCTGTCAGAGAAGAGGGGGGTGGGAAGAGAAGGAGAAAAGGAGGTGGGGCAAGTGCATTAAAATCTTGAAACCTGGGAATGCCAGGCAAAGGGTGTGCTTTGGTATTTCTCTTTCAATTTCTTCTTTATAACTTTGAAATTATTTCCAAATTGAAAGGTAAAAAAAAAAACAAATTATTATAAATATGAACTACTACTACAGCAAAAAAATCAACAAAAATATAAGGTAGGTGTGGGGTGGTGTGAAGCAACAGAAAGTACCAATTGTCAAAAAAAATAATAAATCCATTCAAAAAATTCTTTACCCATTAATAAAATTTTATACTTAGCTCTTTAGAAAGGAGTTCCTACTTTTATTTTTATTTATATTTTAAATAACACATAGTAGATAAAAGATGGGTTTATTTTATACTGCAGAAGAAATAAATTGGAAGTTTTCATTTTAAATATATATTTGCTAAGAATTAATTTGGCATGATTATTTTGAGTAAAATTTATGTTGTAAGCAAGGTAATACAGAAATCAAAACTTAATATAAAAATTCTTCTCAAAGCCTCCAAATGTATAAAAATTATTAAAATGAGGTTTACACAATATGTCATTTATTCTAAGCAAACAGTTTCTCAAACTTAACACCATTTTCTCCAAAGTAGAACATACTAGCAAAATGAGGACTGAATTTTTTTTCAACTGCACATCTCACATTTGAACCAGTTATTACCAAAATTAAATTTCAAAATAACTGTTCTCCATATTGGAGAAGAGAATATCATCTTAAAAAGAAATATTTATAATGCTTAATTACTTTTTAGTTTTTTATATTAGTATACATTTTTTTAAAGAGAGAGAGAGAGAATATTTTAATATTTATTTTTCAGTTTTCAGTGGACACAATATCTTTATTTTATTTTTATGTGGTGCTGAGGATCAAACCCAGCGCCCTGCACATGCCAGGTGAGCGCGCTACCGCTTGAGCCATATCCCCAGCCCGTATTTTGAAATATTATTATTATAAGTATGAACTACTTCTACAAAAACAGACAATTGAGGGGCTCGAGTTGTAGCTCAGCGGTAGAGCACTTTCTTCATACATGTGAGACACTAGGTTCGATTCCTAGTACCACATATAAATAAGCAAATAAAATAAAGGTCCATCAACAACTAAAAAAATAAAATAAATAAATAAATAAATAGACAATTGAAATTTGAATAATAATTGTAGTAACAAAAGTGATATTGAAAAGCAGAGAACTCTGTCACTTAAGAAGGGAGACCCTATAGTAATAATGAGACACCAGAAAAGATGACAGGAGTCTGGGGATCCATTCATCATCCGAAGACCACCAGCATGAAAGGCCCAGCTTAGGGACAGGTCAGGAGAGGACAATGTACAAAAATCCTGCCTTTAGTCATTATTATAGAGATTAAAAAACACACACACACAATGAGAATGTCGGTATAACACAATGGCATATTACTCAGCCATAAAGAAGAATGAATTATGGCATTTGCTGGTAAATGGATGAAGCTGGAGAATATCATACTAAATGAAATAAGCCAATTCCAAAAAACTGAAGGCCGAATGTTTTCTCTGACATGTGGATGCTAATTCACAATAAGGATGGGAGGTTTTAGGGAAGAATAGAAATACACCAGATTAGAGAAAGGGGAATGAAAGGAAAGGAGGAGGAATGGGAATAGGAAAGATAGTAGAATAAATCGGACATTACTATTTTATACATGATTACACAACAAAAGTAATTCTACATCATGTACAACCAGAAGAATGAGAAGTTATACTCCATATACATATAATATGTCAAAATACATTCTACCAATCATGTGTAACTAATTAGAACAAATTTTAAAAAGTAAAAAAAAAAAAGAAAGAATGCTTATTTCTTTTGCCACTCATTTGTAAAACATTTATTAAGTATTTATTATTTGCCAGGTACTATCTTAGGGATACACAGATGAATAAGAAGTATCATCCTTTCTGGAGGTACTCACAGAATAGTTCATGAGACAGCTGAGGGAGAATTCGTCACACTACTATGAGTATGTTCTCCAAAATACTTCTGTTAAAAGCAGAATTGTATCACATATTATTTTAGCATATAGTAGGGATCAATCAGCTCTGAATCAGCGTTTCAGAGGAGATGTTAGATTTGAATGCTGTGCTCGAAGCCAACGCACGGGACACATGTAATTGACTGCTGTCAAGTCCAAATTAACCATTTGGTGAAGCTATTAACAAAGGCATATCAATTATGAAAGCTTAATCTGCAAACAGCAAACACTCAGGCACAAAACTGTTTAATAATGAAGTTCATGAACTCACATGATAGAACTTCTGGGAATAAAGCATTCCTCAGTTCCTCCCACCTTTCATCTCTGCCATCATTCATTCTGGCTCTGTCTTTGAGTTGGTACCTCAGTGGATGTAACACTGCAAATATCATATAAGAAAGCAAAACATGCAGAGGAAGACTAGCGGTGTCTCTCCTTCTAACTCCCTCTCAGGGATGGGGAACTTTGTAGAAGCCAGAAATTTGACTTTCATTTTTTGTCACATGGGCCAAATGACTTCTAAAATGAACCATCAGATTGATTTCTGAAATAATCAGTGACAGGAGATTCACAACAACAAGGTTGGTTACACCAATGGGAAACTTTTGTTATACTACCCCACTGGACAACTTGCATAGACATTTATGCTCTTTCAAATAGAGAGTGCATACACTTCTAGAACCGGTCAAGCAAGCTCTAGTAACTTGTTCTCCATGGGAACATCACATCTGAATACATCTTCAACTTCTTAGGCACTTACTTTGAGTCTGAGTCTGTTTCCTAAAATTGACTCTAGGATTTTTACTTACCCTATTTTGTCCTCCAGATATCTTAATAACTCTTCCACCTACAAAGACATAACATATACATCTTTATGTTTTCTTCAAAGGAAATCCTTTATTTTACTAAAGTCCTTGCTTTGTGGTGCCAAATCATTAACCTCTTTTTTGCTTTGTCCACATAAATATCACTTGAACAGATATTTCTCTGACTGGAAGGAATATTTGACACAAAGCAGATAAAAGTGTGAATATCTTTCTTCTGGTCCCTGACTCTCTCTCTGACTTTTCACTAATTTGAAAACAAATAGTGTTCAAAGCTAGGGGTAAAACCCAGCCCTTGGATTTAATTCTTCTTAGTAAACTCAATATCTACAAAGTCTACTTCCATTACTTGGATTGCCTGAAATGACTTCAGGACTATTTGCACAGAGATTAAATTTACTGGCTACCTTTGTTTTTATTTTAGCATATAGATTTCAAGCACATTTTTCTTCCTAAAACTTCCAAAAATTTACCCTCACAATTTTTTTAATTGGTTCTCTTTGATTATATATGACAGCTTTCAATATTACTTTATAAAACTGAAATACGAATTTTCCAGGAATAAGCTCTACCTTTTTTTTTTTAAGGTTGAAACTGCAAGTCACTACTCAGTGATAATAGTCACCTTTCTTGCCCCATCCTCAATTACCCTTGATTAACAACAATGATAGTATTAATAATGCCCTACCCCTCCCTCCAAGCCACTGCAGGCATTGTGGTTACATTAACTAATATCAATACATCAACCCTGCAAGGAAGGGAAGGGATTATTTTAATGAAGAGAATGTTCTGGCACTATGACTTGCCCAAACACGAAACAGCTGATGTAGATGCCCTTGTCTTGGATGGAAAAACATTCCAGGCAGTTGTTCATCAGATATTCATTAGGACACCCCTTCAGGGTAACAGCATTTATTGTTCAAAAGGCTGATCTCTATTGAAAATTGTCTCCATTCCACAAATAGTACTTATCAGGTGACTCGGGTACAAATCTCTTTGCTAGAAGCTGTAATCGTTGACCTGAATTAAACCTCACATGTTAATTTTCTGCCTCTTAATGTGGAGGTAAATAAAGTGACTCAAATGCTGAGTCTTAGTCTTGCTGCTTCTCATTGGCCACACCAGGAGCATCACATGATGGGGACGTTCTTTAAATCAAGCTCCTGGTGGTATTGCAATGCCTGCATTTCGTTGGTTTTCCTGTGTGAGTGGCTCTTCTCAGCTCGCCTTCTGACGATGGAGCCCTTCTTGGGAACCTGGAAACTGGTCTCCAGTGAAAACTTTGAGGATTATATGAAAGAGCTGGGTGAGAAATACCTTTATGGGATGGGGGAAACTAGCAAAGCACTTTGTGATGTGGTTGTGTTTGCACTTTACAATGAATTTTCCTACAATTCTCTCTCTTTTGTGATTCTGGGGTATATTCATTTGAGACTAACATAGTTTATGATCCTACTTATTACTACTACTACTTTTGCTTTTCCTTAGTATTAGTAATAAATTGTCTTTTAAAAAATATGAGGTTCATAGATACCTTCAGTCAAAATCCATGTATAAGCCCATTTATCCTTTTGATAATACTTCTTGCTAACCTTTAGATTGAGGATCTCTTTTGCTTGGTCACTTTATTGAACAGTTTTTTTCCAGTTTCAAATTTATAGACAGTAATCACCATCTATAATTAAACTTATCTCAGAGTTTGCTTTAAGTTATAAATTTTAAAAGGCAGTAGCAACAAATAAAATTTCCAGGCAGTTAATTTTTAGAGTTCTCATTCATATAAGTGATCTGTAAGACATTACTTTGAAAAATTCCTTTGGTGGGAGAAATAGAACAATTTTACTCATTGAAAGCCTAGTGATGGGATGTTTCTCAGAAGTATAAACCCTACCTATCCTTTCTCTCAAGTTAAATGGTCAAACATCAATTATAATGACTTGGGTCTATAATAGCTGCACAGATTTTTTTTTACGAATGCTAGAAGAATGGTAATTACTTATTTTTTATATTTAATTAAGAGAAATCTCTTTTATGATAAATAACTATGTATGAAGCCAAGAATATTCTTTAGTTTTTTTTTTTTCTAACTTGTTTGGAATGATCAGTAAATGCTTACTGTTATTAACAATATGTTTACTCATTCTAGACAATGAAACAACCATGCTTTCTCCTGCATAATAAGTTAGTGTGCTTATAAGTGTACTACTTGGCCAAGTGTAGTGGCGCATGCCTGTAATCCGAGCAGCTCGGGCAGCTGAGACAGGAGGATCACAAGTTCAAAGCCCTCTTCAGCAAAAGTGAGGCACTAAGCAACTCAGTGAGATCCTGTCTATAAATAAAATACAAAATAGGGCTGGGGCTGTGGCTCAGTGGCCAAGTGCCCCTGAGTTCAATCCCGGGTGCCAAAAAACCAAAAAACAAACAAACAAAAAACCCAGGTATATTATTTGTTCCTCTTTTATCTCAGTATTAACATTCTCCGGGAGCAATAAATAGGCTTCCTTACCTATGGATTTAAAGATGCTTTTATTTTGAATAAAATTTGGAGGTTTAATGAAACTCAAGATTTAGGGCCAGAACAATCCTCATGGGTTTTTTATTTGTTTGTTTGTAAATAAAAGAATTTTTTTAGTACTTTACCAGGGCACTTAACCACTGAGGCATATCCTCAGCCCTTTTTTTTAATTTTTTTTTAGAGCCAGGATCTCACTAAGTTGCTTAGGGCCTCCCTAATTTTCTGAGGCAGGCTTATGAACTTGAGATCCTCCTGCCTCAGCCTCCCAAGCTGCTGGGATTCCAGGTGTGCACCACCATGTCAAGGCACTCCTTGTTTTGACTATGAGCTGGATTAGATATGTCTCAATAGCAGCTAAGCTCCTCTATGTGAATACAATACTAAGTCCTTTAGCTCCTCTTCCAACACACCTGTAAGGTTAGAACCACTTAAACACATTTTACTACCAAGAGAGTTGAAGGGTAGAGAAGGTACATAACACACCCAAGCTGGCAGGTGGCAAAATTGGAGCCAGGCAATCCTGCTTGTGATCCTTGGATCTAAAACTGCTACTCCGCTATGGAGTGCATCACATCCATTCCGTAATTTGAGTGGGAAACAGTCTGATAATGACTGAGAGAGACAGAGAAGGAGTCAGTTCTTCTGCCCACCTTTTGTAGGAGTGAAGTTTGACAATGGAAATCCCCAGACTGAGCAACAGGACCAAGCTCTAAGCCAAACTCCTCCTATACTGTGTAGCTTCTGTGAGGTCCAGAGCCAGCATCTGATCACCTGAAAGGCACCCTGCAAATAAACATTTTTCCAGGAAGCTCAATAGCTTCAGAAAGTGAATTTAGCTTTTCAAAATATCAGATGGAATACTAGCCAGCTATACATTCTGATTGGGAGGATCTGGCTCAGTCCAGATAACAGACAGCATAAAAGACCACGACATACATTATCCAAAACTTGAATGGGGGAAGAAATTGTTTTTTGTTTTTTGGTTTAGGAAATTCCTTTCCAAAATGATTGTTAACACATCTGTCTAAATGTCTGAATAAAGTGTGATGCTTTCTCTGCCTTCCAGGAGTGAATGCTGCAGCTCGCAATGCGGCAGTGTTAGTGAAGCCAAACGTAATTATTAGCATGGATGGAGATAAGGTGAAGATGAGAACAGAAAGCTCTTTCAAGAACACCGAGATCTCCTTCAAACTGGGGGAAGAATTTGATGAAACTACTGCAGACGACCGAAATGTAAAGGTCGGTCAGAACTAAATCTTCCTGGTGTTCAGCTGTCAGAAACAAACCTGGGGTGGCGAGGTGTGGTTTGTGCTATGTAATTTGGCTTATTATCAAGTTGGTTTGGGCATGTTTTGTTATATATATCTGCACATCTCCAAAGTCATTCCTTTTGCTAATTACTCTGAGGACCGAGTGAAGCTAAAAAAAAAAAAAAAATCAAGTTACTCTCACTTTTTTTTTTTCCTGATCTAACTTAGTCATTATATTAAAGATCAGAGAGAAAGGAGAAATTAGGCACAAATAGTTTAGGAATTATTTGCCTAGAAGAGAAAATTAATTAAAAGGGTCTCTCAAACCTTCTAGTTTGACAGTATTCAATTATGACAATAATTAATGTGAGGATTTTGAAGAACAGAATTTCAAAATATAGATGGAAAGGTGGATGTCTGGTCCTGTGTCAGATAGAACATAGCGAATTCTACTTCTAACAGATTTTCTTATACATTTATAGAGCATCGTAACATTAGACAGTGGCTCAATGATTCACGTCCAAAAGTGGCTCGACAAAGAGACAACAATCAAAAGAAAAATTGTAGATGGAAAAATGGTGGCGGTGAGTTTTTTTTTTTTTTCTAAATTTAAATTCTTATGTCTCTTGTTTGATACATGCTTGTCAAGCTACCCCTTGGTTTATGCACCCTGCATTGAGGGTCTGGCCTGGGGAAAAAGGAGCAGAACAATCTGTCAACTCCCAACTTTAATCATTCCTTTTTGCTTTTAGGAATGTACCATGAATAACATTGTCAGCACTAGAACCTATGAAAAGGTGTGAAGAAAAAGGTCCACATCAAGGAGCACTTGTCCACCAACAGGAAACTGGTACTTGAAGAAAATATGCCCCAAGGCCTGTAATTTTTTAATAATCTAATATAATCTTGCTCAATAAAAGCATCAAAGTAAGTACAGTTTGGGAGCTGTTTGATGATGAGGGTTAGGGAAAGTCTGATGAAGCAGGGAAACAAGAAGATACTGGCCTATAGTGTGACTCTAACAGCTTTAAAGTCTCCTTTGCCCTGTGCCCACTTGATTTCCACAGTCCTGGACCCATTCTCACAATGCACTCCTTTCATTTTATCAAATCCATGTGGAAATTGATGTGACCACAAGGGGAGGTATATTATATCTTTGATACCTACTTTGGTCAGCACAAACCAAAAACCAGTATTGATAATTTTTTTTTCATTTTTACAAGGTCTGTCAATTGCTTGAGGAAGACAGACAATCACAGCACTGTACACACAAAATCAAAGATGGATGGATTAGAAGATAGTGAGAGATAGATGACAGATACAGGAGTACAAAATAGACTTCACATACTGTGGTTGAGTTGTGACAGACGAGCATTTAAAACAGTCATTGACGCCCTTCTTCACAAATCCATTTATAATAATTAGGCTAGTGCATCTGTCACCCTGCTCACAGCTTAATCCTCGCAGAATGGAGTGTTATTAGATATCAGTTCTGAATTTCTGTATGTCTGGTGAGAATTTAATTGTTTGAACTCCACAATGTCCCCTGATAGTTTCACCAAATGCTGTTGTTAGATATGAGGGCTCTCAGAACTCAGAGCAAAACACAGCGATGGGGGTAAATGAAAGAATAAAGCTTAGAAAACTCAGCCCATCTGTAGCAGTGAGAGAAGAAAAAGAAGAAAGTGGAGAAATTATGTAGATAATCACGTTGTGCCTTAAATTTAAAAATGGGCAATCCTTGGTCAAACCTAAGTCCTAATGTAGCACAGAGTGTGATTTGGTGAGTTCTTTGACAAATTTAAAGAATAAAATCCATGGACATGTAGCAGGATTTGTTGAAGTAATAGAAAGAAGAGCTTCTGAAGGGCAGGGTTTGCCAGAGAATGGCTACTAGAGGTCTGGATCCTAAGCAACCAGTACCTCACTATCAGTTAGTTTTTCTGCTAGCACAGGAATCAAGCTGACCTTGAGGATGTCTGGCTTGTGCTTGTAGTTTCTCAGCCTTGCTATACAGAGACCTGACCTGGAACAGGCCCAGATTTCCTTTTTGCCTCTTTTAACACTTTCTGCTGCCTTACTAAGAGTCATACTTATATACGTCAGAGTAGAATGAATACCCATGCACTTTGTCATCTAAACTGGGTGAGAATTAAAAGTGACAAAGGGGCACTGTTAAGGATTTAACCATAAATACAGACTGCCCTAGGCAAACTGAGGGGCATGGTCAACTTAGGAAGGAAATTAAAGAGTAATGAACAACAGGACTACAGCTTGGGGCTGGGCTGTGAACTGATTCCCTGGCTAAGGGTAGGAACCACCTGGGCTGTCATCTTAAACCTGAAGACCTCTGAGCATCTGGCTCTACATCAGAGTGGTAGCCCTGGTTCTGGCCAGGTAGCCACCAGGGGGGGGAACAATGACATTTATCCCCATATGACATGTCCTTCTGTTTCTTAAAGGACTCAGGTATATACAAAACATGACCACGTTTGTCTTCAGAGGTTAAAGAGGCTTTCTCACCCTAATGGTGTCCTGAGAAAAGGGGAGCAGGGAAACCCCTCCTCAAACAGCCTCCATAGTGAGCTGGAGACCACAGCTGCTTTAGGGACACCTCAGAGCAGGAGCCAGAGCGTTTCCTACAATGATAAGGAAGAAGAAATGTCATTCAAATCTATGTCTTTACAGAAGCATGATTTTAAAAAAAGAATAATGAAGTTCTCAATTTTTGAAACATTTCTCTTCTCACAAATATCACCACTCCACGTACAAAGAGCTTGAATGAGAAATAAGACCCTGGTGTTGAGTTTGTTATATGCAGCATCAAATGTACTACTCTTTAGGAATCATTCACTCATTCATCCAAGTTCTTCCTTGGTGACCACTGTATTTGACACTCTTAGGTGCTGGCAAATGGCGCCGAGTTAGGCATGAAGGTCAAACTGCATTTTCTTTTCTTTTTTTTTTTTTAAGGTATTGGGTGCCTTTTCCACTGATCAACATATTCAGCTTTCTCTTTTGTTTATTTAATTTTATTTTTATTTTGAGACATGATCTCACTAAGTTGCTTAGGGCCTTGCTAAGTTGCTGAGGCTGGTCTCAAACTTGTGATCCTCCTGCCTGAGCTTCCCAAGTCACTGGTATTACAAGTGTGCACCACCATGCCCAACTACAAATACCTTTTGATGTTTCATGAGGCAGAGCCATCTTGAAACACTAAACCTTTCCTTTTATCCTCATTTTTGTTATGAAATTATTAGAAATTATACTTAGACTGGTCAGTATTTAGTAAGAACTTTCACACAATCAGCCTTTGGATATATCTAACTTGCTTTTGAAAATCATCATCTATCTCTGAGAAATGATAACATGTATGTTTGTCACATTGCATTGGGTTTTAAAGGAGAAAGAAAACAATGGAACTTTTCATTATAGTGAATTCACTAATCATTTATTTACTTTCCAAGAGGTCTGAAATAAAAGAAATGAGAGCAGTTTTTATAAGCCACACTGGAAAATATATTTTATTTTGAAATATTTTAGCCTGAAAAACTCAGTAGCAAATCATTAGACTTCAGATTGATACTGAAGTTTGTAAGACAGTATTAATTATCCCATTATGCCATCCTTAGTATTATTATCCAAGAATAATTCACCAGGTTTTCTTTTATGCTACCTAACACTATGTGGTAAATCTTTGATAAGAATAGTTTTGAACATTCTCTGTAGTATTTTACTGTCACACTTTTTGTACCCAAAATGCAATAAACATTAAAAGACAATGGACTGGTCGGTCCCATGAGTAACCAAAAGTAGAAAGAACTATAGGATGAAGTATTGGGACATATCCTAATTCCTAAATGATATGTTCTTAAAATTCCTACTTCTAACATTTAGGGGGAAAATATGTCTACCTTTTTTGATGTTTGGTGTCCAGGCCCTTTGTCTTGCTTTTTTGAGGAAGTCAGAGAGACCATCTAACCACCAGCCCCACCAGGAGAACAGGAGTTATCAGTTGCCCCACAGGGGGCAAACAGTGAAGAAGTAGAATGGGGTTTGATGACCCATCGGAGCAGACTTGAATCCTGCTTCTACATCTATGACTACGTGAGAGCCTGTTACCATCTAGGGCTGCAGGGTTCATTCAGCAAAGAATTGAAGAATGGGACACAGAGATAACAAGCAAGTAGCAGGTTTATTACAAAAGCAACAGAGACAGATTTCTACGAAGAGAAGGAGCCCAGGAGACGAGAATCCGGTGGGGGAGTTTTGGCCTGTTCATTTTATGGTCTCTGGAATTTCCTCCTTTCCTTATCTCTTCCCCTGTTCATGCTCTCCTCACTATAATTGATTGATGCTCCCTTTGTTCACGCATCTATTTTAGTTTTTTTGTTGGATCCCCCACTTAGGATCATGGGTAAGGAAGTATCTAATTAGGTCCCCTGTTTGTGTCCATGAGCACTTTCTTCAACCAGGAAGTTGACATCGTTAGATGACCATCTCCACGTTCCTTTGTTCTGAGTCTGCCCCCCACCTCCACTTGCCAGGCTCTTCTACATCTTCCTCAAGCCTGCAAGAGCTGCTTGATCAGTTTGTTTCTTTGCAAAACGGACATTGACTTATTTCCCGGGGTTGTGGCAAGGGTGAAGGAGATTGTCTAAAAAGGACCAGCACAAGTATTGCAGTTTTCCTGAGCCCTCTTCTCAGAAGACAAAGCAGTTAGAATGGGAAGAGTGGGAACAACATAATTGGTGGGGATGTTTACCAAAACAGTGAGCAGCAGAAGAACAGGGAAGAGTCTCAGCAGGGTTTAGCTTAAGGCAAAGGTTTGAAGCAACCAATTAGAAATCAGCTTTCAGGAAAATGGATTATGGTTTACTTTGTAAAACAGAATTCAGATTTCTGTGGTTACTTATAAAAATAAAAACTTTCAATAAGTAAGTTATAAAGCAACTTCACAAGTTATCTTTCTTGATCCTCAAATAAATTTTTGTTTTAACAGATGAAAAAAACAGATGATAGCATCCCAAATGCTATCCATTTAGCAAATAATAAAGCTAGATGAGAACTTAATACAAATTCACTATAGAATTTTATCTTTTTACATTAAAAAATAATGACATGGGGACTGGGAATGTAGCTCAGTGGTAGAGTGCTTACCTAGCATGCAAGAGGCTCTGGGTTCAATCCCCAAAATTGCAAAAGCAGACATGAGAAAAGAAACAAAGAATGTCACAACTCTGTGAATTATAATTTGAATGCCAATAAGACAGATGATTAATTGCCCCTTGGAAACCTGAGGTTGCCCTTCCCAAGCATTGAGTTACTACTTAGAACAGCCTATAATCAAGGTGTGGCACTGCTCAGACCTCTCTATATCCATTGGGTTTTATGACTACTTCTTTGCATGCAATCTGAGTGGAATTGACATGTGCCACTTCTGAGTCAAGACGGTGAAGAAGCAAATCCATGCCTGTCTGCTAGCAGGTAGACTGTGAAACTCTGGGGTATGGTATAGAAGAAGGGATCCAAGACCTCTGAAGGACCTCATAGCTCCATACACTAGGAGCCCCTATATTGGACTCGGACATCAAACAAGAACATCTGGGTCTAGCCACTGGAATGTTGGAGTTTATTGCAGCAGCTAATGTTCAAATAAAATTTAAGAGATTTCATTGTGTATCGTGTCACAAGCCTGTTATTGGCTGAAATGTAGCCACAAATCTAGCTTTCAGTTGTTTAAGGGAATAAAGATTGGGTTGGTTGAATGAAAGAAACCACAGTTTAGACATGAATTTAGCTG